CAAGATACCCTCAGTGCCAGCCTCACTGATGTGTCCTATACATTGCTGGCTAACACTAAGCTTCACCTAAATGGAACAGAAAAAATCATTATCACTGAAATGTTAAATGCAAAATTCTCCCACAACACATTATACTCAGAGTCCTATTTTTATGCCATAAGCCCAATATATCTTTGAAAAGAAACAGCATAGATAGAAATTGGTTTTATGTACAGTACATTTTTAAAATATTTTAATGTGAAAGATGTAGCGATTATAAATATTTAATGGGTTTAAGAGTTATTTCTCTAGTAAACCAAACCACTAAGAGAAACTCTGTAACTAGAGTACTTTTATAAATAATTCATGAAAATGGTCACTGAAACCATCTCAATGGAAACAACTGGGAATCCTACAAGATGAGAGCTGTTCACCAGTTTACAGAGGATTAAAATATAAACTGTATATACCTCACTGTTTTTGAAACAGTACTCATCCATTTTCCTTTTCAATTATATTCTACATTGAAGTATTCAAATTCTAAAGTAAATTACTTTGACTAAATCATCGCCTTAAGTTAACAGACCAGAGTAAGATAGAACCATCAGTGGCATCCTAATAAGACTAAGGGATGAAAATAAAAAAAATGTTATTTGATTGAGACCATGCTGAAAGAGATCAGAATACTCAATTAAAGAATGCCAATGTAACTGCTAGTTTGCTTGACACTGTAGTTATTAATTCATGCACGAGTAGCATCTTTTTTACAGGAAGTGTTTCATTTTCCTTAAGGTAATCACACCCTAAACACTTCTATGTGAAATCGCTGATCAATACCATTCCTTTGAACTCAAAATCAGTATTAAGGAATGCTTGAATGTTCATCAATAAACAGAAAATACAGTATATTAAATAGAACGATGAGCTGTGCTACGTCATTTTTAATCCCCAACAGTTAGAAAACGTTGCCACCTAGCGTCATAATCCTAGAAACAAAACCAATTAAAATCCTGCGACGTTTTAAATGTGTCATTTTATTGAATTTGCATTATATTCTTCAGACATATTTTACAATAAACATCATACGGTTGACACATTAACTGCTTATCGTAGCATGAAATGACTATTTTTATTACTTACATAGAAAGAAATCAAATGAAAATTCATGACTCACATAATGAACAGCGGACGGAAAATTACTGAAGGGATAGTAAATATCGTTATATAAACAATACAATATCATTCAACACAAACTATAATACCCTACTGATAAAATGAACCGTAAATGGGGTTTTGTACGAGAAACCTTAAAATGCAGTACAATCCACGTAAGAAAATTTGGATCTGATATCACATTTTATACTGATGAATCAATTGCTGGGTGGTTACAGCAGAGGGCGCCACATAACATTAAGGTTGTGAATCTACAAAAAGCGAGTCATAAAGCAGTTGGAAACTGGATAGTCATTCATCCGATACACGAAGCAGAAGATTACTGACTTGCTTATCGTAAATATATTTTTACCAGCAGATTAAGGGTTGTCCCACACCACCGCACGAATTTTATATTTTACCAACTTTGTTTCCCAAAATTCATTGCCTGACTTAAACTACTGTTTAAATAATCAAAGCAGCAGTGATTCCACGGAGAAAGGATTTGCAATTTCCAGTTAAATAAAAAAAATAAAGGTTTTGTATAGATTTTCTGCTCTTATTTACATAAATGCATGTTGTATCTGTACAATCTATCCAATGTCAGTGACTATACAGCTGTATTTATAATCTTTAGATTTAAAGTGTTTTATTAACATGGAAGTATCCTTCAGGAATTTTAAACAAACACAGTACCCAGATGAGAAACTGACTTCAGACTAATTGAAACTAGAAGAAAATTACACAATTTCCTGACCTGCATGCTTAAAGCCTCACAAAATCACTTTGTCTTGGAGAAATAATACTCTCTTTGTGACATGTGAAACACATCAAGCCTAATGTCAGCTTTTTCCCTTCCAGAGGCTTTATCCAGTGAAAACCCTTTACCTTTTATCCAGCAGAAAACTGCCATCAAGCGATAGTCTGTGATGTGCTATTTGCAGAATAGTATTAGATTTTACTCTAACCTGGGCCACAGTCAGACAAAAACCTATGTGGATTTGTTTCCATCAGGTGTCTAATGTAAAAAGCCACCTGTTACTGACTGTTATAGACTTATTTCCTGATAAATAAGCACATATGTAGGTCATATGCTACCTAATAATACTGGTTTGAAACTGTATTGTGAGTTTTATAATTGGGCACTTTTCGATTTTCAGGTTTGTTTCCCCCAAAGTCTCTCAGGCTGCTTTCATTTCTCTGAAAGGAGATTAGTAAATTCCTATTAATCCAGCAGGATTCTTTTTTTTATCTTTTAGCCCTAAATTTACTATTTGCCATGAGTGATCAATATCTCTTCCACCCTATACAGCTATACCATGGACAGCTTGTGAAATTGCTTCTTATAAGGACCTGCCAGGGACTGTAGCTGCAAAACAAATCTGCTTTAAAGAATCAGAAATGAAAGAATACTTGGATCATGAAGAGATACAGTAAAGAGGTACTGTATAATGCAGTAGTTTTTGTAAAGCTGCCGACTTCAGCTATTTCCAAAGCATTTGCCAGCTATGTGGGACAATATTTAGCTCTCCCTGTGTGCATCCTGGTGCTTCGATTTCACGTTTTTTCCCCAACTATTTTGTAGTTGGTGCCAGGTATTCAACAGAAGGGCAGGTCAGGTCTGGACCTGGAAAATCACAGTCCAGCATATTGTATATGTCAATTTGTCATGGAACTCATGAGTAAATTCAGATAATTGGTTAACTTAAATCAAAAGTACCCATTTCAGTGGTTAGAACTGAACTGTTCCAAGTGCTCAGAAATCGACAATTTAGATGTGGCCAACAAGACCTGCCAGATTGTGCCCCGCCAGTAACAGGGCGAGCAACAGGCAAGAAAAAACAATACAGGAGAAATTAAAGATGTTTTTCATCTGCATTTCCTTAATTTCAAAAAGCAAACCTCTGATTATCTTTTACGTTCTTCAGCAGTCAGTTTGATCTGTATTCCACAAATGTAGTGTTTCATTTTTATATAGTTTAATTTACACAACAATCACTGAACCATAGCACATCTTTCACAGTCTAAGAGTTCAAATCCATGAACATGCTCAAACTGGCTTTGTAGTTCTCCACTGTTGACACTGTCACTCTGTGGAAGTTTTGTGTCCTTGTCTTATAAGCCTGGCACAAATCAATCATATCTTAACCACAACCATCAAGTGATGAATTCAAAGATAAAAGGGCATGTGCATCTTGAGAAAATAAGTCAGTTGCTGTACAAAAATTGGTTTAGTAAACTCTTTAGCTGAACTCTTTGAAAATATATATGGATTTATTTAAAAGTTAAATTGAGAAAATGTAAAAGACGAAATTAAGGAAAGCTATTTGAAGAACGACAGAACTTCTTTATACAGATCTCCTTTAATGCAAAAGTGTTTTAACTGCATTTTATAATTAAATACTTCACAATTTTAATAATTCGGGTTTATTTAAAAAAAAACTCACGAACTTACTTGTACAGCGTATGTCATGTCCTTTTCTTTCAAATATGTTATTTTTTAAGTTTAAAAAAAATCTCTACCGAACTTGAACAGCAGACACTACCCAGAACAATTTCCACATATTTGCTGGTGCGTATTGTTATTTTGTTTTCTGAATGCAACAGACGGTTAAAGTTAATGAATAATGTGCTCGTATGTGAACAGACATAAAATGTTAATAAGTAACATTTTGATATCATGTCACATAGTAACTAAACTTGTTTAAGCCCTGGTGTCGAATGTAACAATATCAACAAAATGTTGCTTTTTCTTCGACGCTTCAGGAAGGGTACAACATCAATTGATTTCTGTAAACAACTACGAGTAAAGAACAATATTTTTCAGAATTATTTTTCAACTACAATACAATATATCAAATAAGAACAGCACACAGCTTTTTCTTGAAACTTCAACTTGCCTAGCTTCTTCATTTACCCAATAAAACTTATTCCGTGCTTGGGTTTGGTTTTCGTGGTACAATAAAAACAAAATGGAAACCTACCTCCCCAATAATCCCCAAAATACTCCCTTCCTCTGTACTGGTCATGTTTCTAATACAGCATTTTGTCTTTTTTTTTTTGTCTAAACTATCGATCGTTACTGCTAACTTAATTCACATCCTGGGCCATTGGATGTTAAATGTACCTTCACTGGGTAACAGGTGTGTGAATTCCACGTGTATTAAAGATAGACAAACAAGCAATTAAGTAACAACTAGGCTATTTATGCTGAGAGATTTCTATAGGGGGCACCGAAATAAATATAGCTCTCGCTGTAGTGGCCTGGAGCCTCCTTAATCACGCGTGACGTCTTCAAAATGAGGTTCAGCATCCTAATCACAAGACTGAGGGGGACGAGTAAACTACATTTAATGTGCTGTGATATTACATTACTTTCAAATATGCTCAGCGATAAAATATAAATTTATGAAGCCACACCACCCTAGGTACAAGGCATTTACTGTCCATGAAATTCAAAATTCGTCTTATTTCATTATTCAACTGTCCTGAAACCGCACGGGTAAGAAAAAAGTGACTTTTGAGGACAAATTACAATAACAAGGCAGCGATGCAAATTTGCATATTTCCTTGAGCGCAGTCTTCCGAAAGAATAGAAACTACACCGACAGTCTGTACCTCGATGCCCTGCTTATTTAAGATTTAGCGACTAAGGAAATACTCAGCATGCAAAACAGTTGCGCCTGGAAATGTTTGATATTTGATTTTTTTGTTTGTTATATTATAAGTTTCCTTTACAGTTTTATAAGCAATAAGAACGGCCGGATTGCTATTTCTGTTGATTCAGACATCCTCAACGAGGAACATTGCATTCTATAAACTACATCGGTCCTGCAAAATCTAACAAGTTAAGTTAAATATTAACAAACCTGTATTTCCTTTATGTTTTCCACAGGGGCGATATGTTGATTTGGCCTGCTCTTGAAGTTGGATTTCATCGAACGTGCGTTCAACTCTGCGTTTTTATTTGGGGTACTTTTTGTAAAATACGTGAACGCAGGATTGGCGCTTTTAGCCCTCCTTTGGTTTTCCATTGTCTTCTGGTGGATTTTTTAAGGATCATCGACGTGCAATTTGGAAGGAAATGGATATGCAACTGCATTTGTTTTGTTTCCTTGCTCTTGGATCGTACTTTCTCACGAGGTTGTTGTCAATGGTTTCCTTGGAGACGACACCGTCTTTTCAGCATGCTTTCCCACTATCAACAAAATCAAGTGATCCTGTATTGTATTCCAATAAACTAGTTAAATATCTTTACTATTTTGTCGTTTTCTTAAAATAAAATTTTAATACATATATTGTATTTTGAGACAAAATACACAATGAGCGTACAGTACAGCAGAATTTCACATTTCACATCCACCTCCATCCCTGGTGCATACTGGCTATATTCTTTTTTTGACGTGCCTTCATTACAGTTTGTATTTTTAACTTTGAATTGCAGTGAATAATTTTTATAGCTGTAAATCAGATGGACAAAAGTAGTTAAAAAAGTAGTTACAGACGACAGAAGAATTTCTCACATTATAGACCTATTAGACTCGTTTATAACTCTGGAAATTCCAGGGTGAGGAGGATATGTGAATATGTGAAGTAAAATTGTAGTCTAATCGAATGCATTAAGTAAAACTCCGTCTGCTTAATTGAATCCCATGAAGGAAATCTTTAAAGCAGGAAATGCACCTTGTAAATGATATTATAAAAAAGTGATAATTTTGACCGATCGAATGAATAATTCTTGGAAAATGAAGGATTTTTAGATATAGTATCCAAAATATAAAGGAGGCTTATCGTCATTATATAATGTCACAAGATAAGTATATTTGCTGAAAACACCTGAAGATGGCAGTGTTTCGTGGAAAAGCAATTTGCCAGGCTGATATCAGAATTGTCTGGTTGATTTTATGCTTCACGTTTTTGCCACAGAAAAAAATCTCAATGATCAAAACATGCTCAAGAGAGATTTTGTGTACATACACTTTTGAAAAGATTTTATGTACAGTATATAAAAGTGTCTGTATATTAACTGCTGGCCATCAGTAGTTCTTTAGGGTCTTCAGTATTTCCTTAAATCACTTGAGTTGGCAGCATAGTTAGTTATTGCCTCAGCTGTAAGTCCACTCCAAGGGCAAGCAGCAGTGTTTCACGCTGAAAATGGAAGTTCTAGCCTGTAGGCTGGCATTGACAGTGAGATTGGGCAACGTCAAACACTGTGACAATAACAGCATTCTGGAGCAGAATGCACATTGACGAGGTGGATCAATTCTCAACCTCTGTGTTCCTGTTTGTTTGCTTTTTTAAAATGAAAGGATGTGGTAACGAAGGGAAATCCCATTCATCTGTTGCAACTATAGAAAAATCACAGATACTGACAATCTGTCCAAATTCATGGCTTACCCACATTTTTAATCTGTAAAATGGTACAGTTTGAGACTGCGTGACGTTCCAAACTCACATGAAGCAAAAAGGACACATGAAAACAGCTCCATGGCATTCCAATGGATTAGCGGAAAGACCACTAATGAGCACAGACGTATGGACGAAGGTACTCACCTCTTCCTTAGTGCCCCTGGAATGAAAAGTACTTTGTGTTGCTGGTGGAACATTGGAAGAACCTCTCAGTCTGCTTTGTTTCAGTTCTAGAATGACCCCACATACCACTACTGGGTCCTCCCTGACAGAGTTTCCCCTGAAACACTGACCACTCACGTGTTTGAATTTGCTGTTTCCAAACCTGATAGGGAAGGTGAGACAGGTGAGTGATCAGAACGAAAGTCATGACAAATACGGCAGCATTTAAACATTCAAGACAAGAGTTCTTGTTCTCATTCAAAATTATGTCTGAGGTCTGCTGTGGTTGCCAGGAATTACAACTGAGGAAGTAGGATCTGTTTTGTTTCAGGTACAGGTTGCAAACAGGTTGGTATGTAAACAGATGAATCATATTTATGCAAGAGCAACATTCATACAAATGCAAGGTGTTTTGGTGACAAAAGTGTCATCACTAATCTTAGAGTTAAGAGACTATCCATCAGCTGCTTACTGTGAGACACTTGTCAAGACAAACACCACAAAAACTATGTCTGCAGAGTTCCATTGAAGGTTAAGTGAATATGTTTTTAATTTAGAGGGTGTGGGAATGTCCTAACCATGATATTGGGCTATCACATGTCAATCAATGGAAAAGTTGTTCCAATTCCTGTAGATCAACAGAATGATGCTGAACAGTGAAATTAAGTAAGTTGCCATAAAGCTGTGTTTTTGCTAACAAAATAAAGGTTGTACTCTCTCAAAAGACTCCTGTGAGCATCCGAGGTATTGATTATACCACTCAAAGAAGCATGTAACAAATGCTTGCTGGAAATATGAAGAGACAGAAAATGAATGAGATGAAACCCAAACATGAGTATATGATATCATTGAAAGAGACTTCAATGTTTTATGTCCTAAAAACATTGCAAGAAAATGGTTTTTGTTTGACCTAAGAAATATTGACTTTGAACCCATGAGACACAACACAATCAAGAGAAAAAACACTGACATAAGATGACAAGATACAATCCCTGAAGGGGAATAGTTGAAGATGTTCATGGAAGAATCTTGTCGAGGCTTTCATCCAGGACTGGATGAAATAAACTTACAATGATGAGTTTTAATTTTGGATCTGCTGTCATTTACAGTATATACTGTGCATTATGTATTTCATGCTTCTATGCAACATATACTGCATGTACTGTAATTGCACTTCATTGTGAATCATACAAATATGTACTTCTCTGAAAAAAAAAAACATTTTCTCTGATCATATTATTTTACATAAGTTTTCAAATCCTGAAGAATGGCAGGCCAGAATGAGCAATTGATTTCTCCTGTAAAATACAATTACTGGCTCTATGAAAACTCACAAGTAAATTTACAAGAGAAGTAAAATACAAGATAAACAGAGAAGACTGTCCTATATTAACATCCATCCATTTTCTAACAGCTTCTTCCAACTCAGGGTTGCAGGGTAGTGAGAGTCTATCCCAGCAAGCAAGCAATGGGCCTGCAGACTTAAATCACAGAGAACAGTTTAGTGCAGCCAACAAGACCTCAAAGTGAGACCTTATTTGCAATAGAGTAAACTGTGAGAATGGTGTCATGTTATAGACCAAAATATAGATCCACTATATTTTGCCATCTCAATACAGTTTTAAAAGACAAACACAATTTAATACAAAGTACTGGTACTGTACATTTCAAAGGATATTTTATAGTTATCATTGCAGGGCAGAAATACAAATACGCACACACCTACACCTAGGGCCAATTTTCCAGAAGCCAATTAACCTGCTTGTTTTGGACTGTGGGAGGAAACCTTTGTGAACACAAGGTGAAGATACAGTTCAAACAGATAGCACTGCAAATCAGGAACCGAACCCAGGGTCCCAGCACTGGAAGGCAGCAATGCTTACCACAGCATCAAAGTGCTACCTCCCATATGAGAAATATCTGCTCAATAGATCATCTTCTGAAATTCTGTTTGCTTTGGTAAATCTGCGTTTTTCAAAATTCTTGCATATTTTATAACGCATGTACTGTAATCTGCTTTTTCAAATTTTCCTTGTATCCTTATACATAATTGATCTAATCTTGCTTGATCATACATATCTTTGTTTTACCTTGCATCTCCCATTATTTCATTTTGCCACGCTTTTACCTGTGCATATCATACTGAACATTCATAAGGAATAAACTTTCATTTTTGCCATATAAAGGTCATGCACTAATAAAGCAACATTGTACTGTTCTGGGGCAGAAACAGTTGTAATGGAAAACAGAAATATTATTTACTTTAAGTGCAATATTCCAAAAGATAAAATGTTTGTTTGGTCAAACTATCGAGAGACAGCAGCAAGCACTCTCTGAGGTAAGAGTTAGCCAGACGCTGTATTGCAAGGAAGGTTGGGGGGAAGTGCTTGAGTTAAAGGTAGTCTTCTGGATTGTAGGATTTCACACATGTGCTAGCTGACATGTCAAAAACCTGCAGCTCAGCAGATGTGCTGTCAGTCCTCAGTCACTTCTGGGCTTCACAGCTGAGCTGAGATGTGATTAAAAAAAACAATCATGTATTTGCTCTAGTTTGAGAATCCAAACTTTTCACAAGGTATAGAAAAGGATTTCTTCATTTCTCCAGTTTTGTTTATTAAAAAAATATTACAAGTCAGAGTTACTGTATTTGTGGCAAATTAGCACTGAGCCTTTCACGTTGTATAAAAAATGTCTCCAATATTCCGTGTTCAAAACAAATCGTAATCCATTATGCATTTGTTTGATACATATTTAACATAAATATGCCAGTGTTACAAGAGAGCTGCTTTGCAGAATGCTTAGTAGAAAATGTTTACATGGATATAAACAGGTGTTTATGTAACAGCACTCAATAGCTTTTACACATAGAGTAGCATATAAAATGTTTGTACTATTTATTTGAAGTAACTTAATTCACTATTTAATAATAATAATTTGTTACCAAAAACTATCCTTTTAAAGTCTGTTGAATATTTTTTTATCTTCCTAAGAGTAGAAAAGATTCCACTTAAATTAACTTTGGTCATGGGGTGCTAGTACTTATGGCTCCATTATGTACTTATAACTATGTCCATATTTCAGTCCTTGGGGACTGTCCTCTAGTTTTTATTCCAAATCTGACCTTAACTAGATAGCTGAACTCATTATTCAGATCAGAAATCATAGCACCCAGTGTTTAAGGGCTTAATAAGCACATAAAGAAAGGTTACAAATCAATGGAGGCCATTCAGCCTGTTTGGTCAGGTGGTAGTTAGAGGCGGATGGGTCCAAGGGTCTCATCCAGCTGTTTCTTGAAAGCAGCCAGGTTCCGACTTCAGGTTAGGACTTCAGCCTGAAGCCTGGCTGGGTAGTTAACATTGCAAAGCCAGTGAGGACTAGAGCTGCCCTCATATCGCGATATGATACACCCCGGCAAAAGTGCCCCGACCCATGTCGTGACATGAAAGGCCCTATATCGCGATATGACAAAATCTGTCATGTCCATGTCGCGACATGAAGGCTGTATAACACGATATGACATATCCCGACAAAATGTTGCGACATGGAGTCCATATGTTGCGATAGGACATACCCTGACCAGGATATGCTGACCCCATGTCGCGACACAAAGTCCATATATCGTGACATGTCCTATCTGGGTATATCATGTCCTGATATGAAACCTTTGTTGCGACAGTGGTGCCAGGGTGGCATGAAAGCAAGGCACCAGTCGTGATATACGCTGCCGCGATATACATGCTTTATACATGGGGTCCCTATCATGACATGCTGCGGAGGTCTTGTCGCGATGGTATCCCACAGTTATGCGTTTGGCAACAGCGTGTCACGGTAGGGAAAGAAAGGAAAACGTGCCTTAGAAAATAAAAACCATAGATCTTACAATCACGGTGATTTTACATACATTACAACCACAGGTTTGTGTCATAGATGGTTAACTTGTTGCCATGCGTCATGTCTTAGTATTATTCACACCTAAGGAGAGTCATATATTTATGGATATTGATTGTCTTTATAATGTTAAGGGTATGAGCTAAACTGTAACAGAGCGCTTGAACTGGGCAGACGGGGTCACTGGAGGTCAAAGTCACCGTGCATGGTCACGTGATCACCGGAAAAACAAGGCGCTATATCTCGGGAACGAAAGCAGCACAAACGCTACTTTCAACGGCACAAACGTAGCACTAAGGAATGAGGTGGGTTTAATCGTTTGTGCTGTCTGTAGGGGGGGCAACTTCACGGAGCCTAAGAAACACCACATTATGATTCACGCATTAAAACGTGCACGAAACCGGGGAGTGACGACAAGCAGTTTGAAGTGGTCAGTTGCAAACAAAACCCTGCCTCAGTTTTCCAGACAATCTGGACAAACCATTAATTGAGGGAAAAAAACCTCCTCATCAAATGAGATATTTTCTACAGTACATCAGTGTCATTTTAAATAGAAATACATTCTCTGACTGAATTCCCCCCCCCCAATTAAGCTTTAAAATGGCAACATTGGGGGGGATCACAGCCTATAAATGCAGGTAATTTTCCGGGGCTCTCTCTCTGGTTTAGAGGAAAGCTGTGGCCTCGACAAAGGCGTGCACTCGTCCGAGGGAGCAGACAACAGAGGGTATACCCCCTCTCCCTCCGCCCAGCGTGCAGAGCCTCATTCACAATTCACAGGTTTCTGCGGCCGGCGCCTTTCCTGTTCCGGAGGTTCCCGGAGACCCCCGAGCCCTCCCCCTTCCTCCGCTGACTTCCCCTTCGGCTCCACTCGGGAGAGCCGCCGGCCGGCGCTGCCGAGATGTGGTATCCAAGATGGAGGACTGCTGCTGCTGCTCCTAGCACCGAGGAGTGACTCTGCCTGTGCGTGTGGCATTGCAGACGCCGGACGGCCTCGGACAGGGGGCACAGAATTGCCTCGCGTGCTTGACACCGTAGCAAACGCTGTCTTTTTTTTTTTGTTTGATTGCGGGGGAGGATTTCAAGCTGCCGCCTGGTTTTCCACCATGAGTGCGGGAGAAGGAGCAGAGGAGACCGCAAAGGACGCGGCCGACATAGCGGCGTTTTACAAATCCGGTAAACCAGCAGACTAGGGTCGAGCGCCGCTGCAGCGTGCAGATGCAGGGGGACATTGTTTCCAAATTGCCTCAGTATGTTTGAAGGGGTGGGGGAGGATAATCTGGTGAAGGGAGAGCCGATCTGTGTGCTTCCCGACTTCTTTGCCGTATAAAATGGCAATAGATCGGCAGCCATTATCAAATCTAGCTATATTGTGTTTGAGACATTTTATGTCTACAGAAAAAAAGAACATAATTTTAAAAAAGACGCTGTAATGGAAACTGTTAACATGCCAGGACACAGCGTTACACATTGCTTGCATTGTTATTTAGTTCTACACTGAAATGTATGTGCAATAGGGAGACAATGTTGAAGCAGTGTTTTTTTAATATGAAAACGTGATGATCAGCTGAATGCCTAGAATAAAGATTATTTCATACATTTTAGGCTGCAAAAGAATCCCTTCTTAACGTGAGTTTACTAATTGGACGATTTGGGGGATAATAACAATAGCTTCGATAGCTTGTGGATGGCGTTTAGTAGCCTCTGAAAAAGGGTGATGCATGGAAATTAGAAAGGCAACCTCAATGTGCAGCGGTGAAACAAGCGTTAGTGTTTATCACGATGGCGTGTTTTGGCATCTTTAATTGAGCATTTTTGAGTGGAAACCTAGTAAATTAGATTATTAATAGAACTGTAAGAGTTGTTCTACACTTTCACTTGAATAACTTTCACTAAAAAAATAAGGTTTCAGTTCAGAAAGCCTCAATACGATGATATTGTTTGTATATGTACAATAGGAGTTTTTTATATAAGAGGTCTTCTGCTTTTTGCAGAAGTTGTCTGGACATATTTAGGTAGATATTTTGCCCGGGTTACACACACCAAACATGTATGTGATTGGTGTTCTTGGTGTGGGTTTAAGCATTGATAAATAGTATTTATCAGTGCGTGATACGAGGACATTTCTTTTAATCTTTGCTTCGGCTTCATCTTTTCGAAACGTGCCGTTATTCAAAGAAATGGTGCAAAAGTATTGACTGAAGCGTCAGTGATTTATATACAGTGTTGAAATTAAACAATTTAAAAGATAAAAGGGCCATTCTGGTGCGATGATGTTCCTGTAAGTGAAAGCCGTCACCCTGACTCGCTTTCTGTTGACTGCAGTCCTTGTTACAGTCCTGTTAAAACTTTAATGGGGTTAGCTTGTGTTCCTGTGGACAAGTTACGCACATCTCTCATTGATATCTTGACTCTTTCCCACAAGACTCATAGAGATTTAGAGTGAAAATCTAAATCTAGCATCGTTGCTGGAATAAAATTCTGATAATACCAGGATTAACGTTTATTCAGGCGCAAAACAGCTGTTTTCAGGCTCAGTAATTTGCGGTCACAGAGCAGGATTACAACAGCATAGAGTAAACCTATAACCAAAAAACTACAATATGTATTATTTGGAATGAACTGGCCTTGTAACTGTTATTTTGTACTTTGTGTACGAATGAGTGGTTTGTCTGGTTTGCTTCAGTATCTCCCTTGAATGTTCTTGCGTGTCTTAACGAATAAATCATGAAGCAGCCGCTATTTTTTCAATTTAAAAAATGTCTGCAAATCCTGGAAGACTTTTGTTCCGTTAGATTATTTCCCCTTTCAAGTTTTAAAAATGAAACTATATTGTAATTTTGAAAGGTTTGGCCGTTCTATCTCCAGCAGTTGAGTTCAGTTCTTGAGGGTGCCTGCACATTGGAAAAAAACGTGCTCACTGCAAAATAAAGACCAATAGATATCTTAAACCAGGGCAATACGTCACCCAAATACTTAAATCGTCTTATTGAGAATTAGTAGATTGAAAATTTATATGCCTCAAGATTAGAGGTAATCTATTTTTTGGGGGGTTTGATAGATCACCTCAGAGTCATGCTAATACTTCAAATTGAAGAACAGACCATTTACATTGATTATTCAACACTTATAGCAAAGAACAAAAGAAACTGATTTGTCGGACAAGAGAGTAGAAAGATTTTTGGGATATAATCAAAAACTTTGTTCACCCAAATCAATTGCAGAACTATAGTTCATAAAGCAACTTTGACTCTGTTGCATGATTGCCAAACCTTGACAACAAATTCATAAACTGCATGCATAAGATCTCCTCAACAAATCATATTTTAACACATAAAAAAGAAGATTCGGTTTTAGCAGATTACAAACATGTCTGCCCAAGACAAAAATGTAAACATTTGTTTAATCAGAAGGATATTTTACGTTATACGTCCTTGCTATGGTGATTAACACTGCCTGCTTAAATATCAGTAAGCAAGGTTAGAAATTGCATCCATGAGCTCTTAATCTGCCCTGATGTAGATTGTTACTAATCTGTGCCTGTAGGAGATATGCTGCTTGTAGATAATAAACCCTATAAGAAAGTGATACATTGCTGTATTAGGAGATGCCTTTCAATTTGTGATGACTTGGAACTAGAGATAAGACACCTTTGACAATTCCCTGAAATTAGTATGAGGTTAGTGTGATGGATCTCCTTCATGTGAGTTATTTTGGAATTTACCAAGTGAAGAATTTCAATTCTTTTATTGTTAGGATTTAAGAATGCGGAATATGTTCTGTATCATTTCTTACAACTAAATTGCCTGCTGTTTCCAGATGTCAAGTGGAGGAAGCAAGATGCTGCTTGGTTTTTGTTTCATTAAAAGAGCGGTGAATGTATTATGGTGGACAGGCCACCGATAGTCATGTCAATATTTGTTCAGATAGATTTTGTTTTAGCATGTCTTCCACAGGTTAAAAGCCCATTATGAACAAACGAAGGGGCTCTGTTAAATTTAAAAGGAAAGGATGTGCATCATGATTCAAAGTATTTAGTGTTAAAATGACTAATGTTTACAGATGTTCACTTTTTCATACTATTATGTGAATTGGCAGAAAACTGATGCAATTAAACTTGAATGGATACAGAAAAAAATATTTCAGAAGTTCTGAGAAGCCCAAGACCTGTGAACAGGTCTGATAGCAATAAACCCCAGAAAAGCGTGATTTATCAGACATTATGGAAACAAACTTGAGCCTATGATGCGAAATGTGGAAGATTTGTCTTCTAAGGATTTTTAAACAAAAAAATATCTCCATTAATCCAAAAATGAGAACCACAAGCATTTGTAACTTATTAAATGAAATTATGCTGTGGGTTTTACTTTTCTGCTTTTATTACCTTGTTTTCGATGGTCATTTCTAGGAAGAATTTCTTTTTTTACCAAAGTTGTGGAGAAGGGAGCACCTGATAGTTGTGGTCTTTTGACTCAAGATATGTGTCAAGATCATAGTGGTTTTTACTGGATCAGTCAGGAGGGCGGATGAGTCAGCCTGCATTGTGATGGTACAGAGTGAAGGGATAGGATTTTGTAGTGGATGATGATGAGATGAAATGCTTGCACTCAAGGGACATTGCGTTTATGGTGCAGGGAATGTCTGAGTCATGTTGCATGAGTCTTGCTATTACTTTCTAGAAACAAAGTAGGCTGCATGTTGATGATTATTTTGTCCAACAGTACATTCACTACACATCTCTTTTTGTAGACGGTATAGTGTACATGATATTTACTGATAAATGTTTTTGTTTACATGTGTAATACTGGAGCGTTCTTGACTTCTCTGTTTTTAACTGATCCTTGTGTTACCACAAGCAGTGCTGCTCTTAAGCATTACAGGAGATCCATGAGTGGCCAGTGAGAATGGAAAATGCTAGGGTTATTGTTATTTGGGACCCGGCTACAATATCAACAATGACTTTACAAGTTGTGTAAAGCATGTATTGTATATGGTATAAGGGTGCTGTTGCTTTACTGTTTTAGTCAGTTGCTTCTACTAGCTTAGGAATTAGTAATTTCCTTGTTGTGCTTAGTCATTAACCATATTGGTTCATGTAGATTACAGTTGGTTTGTGTCAGTGGCTAGTGGACAAAATAAAAAAATAAAATCCTGGTTTTCCTGGTTAAGGCTGACAGATCAAATGATCTGGCAGCACTTAGGTGGGCTTTTGATAAAAGCTGTAATGTGTGTTTATCCTAAAAGCTATGTAACTTTAGTTGAAGTGGTGTAAAGAAATAGCAACATCTTGCAGTATTTATGACTAAATATTTCAGGATTTTATTTAAAGAAGGATTAAAAGTTATTTAAAACTTAATTCATTGTCTTCTGTAAGTTTAATTGTGCTTATTGGATTTGCTTTTCATAAACAAATCCTTTATTTTGTACTCATGATAGTGAACTAGATACTGATACTGCAGATACTGGTAATGTCTCATTTTAATAGTAATGATTTAGAATCTCCAGATGTGTATAATTCTGTTGCAATCTTGGTCTGTTGTCACTATGTGTTGTTTAATATATCTTTGTATTCTGTATCATTCAGTGGTGTAACCTGTTGGTTTACAATAGTGAGGTTGGATTGTTTTTTTGGGTTTTGTTGTTAAAACTATTTTTGGGGAAGTGTTGTACTTTCGTACCTTGTATGTTTTCAGTGATTTAACGGATTTAAAGGTATCATTTTCAGAATGATCACAATTTCTCATTTTATTTGCCTGATTAAATGCTTTGTCATCACATCATGTGTTCCAGGAAAGATTGTTCCACACAGATTTACACCGCACATTGTAAGAAGAGGTCGGGTAAAGGTTTGTGTAGCTGACAGAGGACTCACTTACAGATTTAAACATGAATATGGAAATGTTTTTCTACAGCTGGGTGATGTAAATGTAATATATTAGAAACACCCAGCACTTACTCTGTATATGCTAGCTTCAGGAGGGACTTCCTGACTTCAGGAGAGATTTATTTTCTGAAGCAGGTTGTTTGAACTTAGGGATACTTTTTCTTCAAAGACAAACGCCTTTAACTGAAAAGTGCTTCTGCACAGTGGCTCTTGTATTTTGGCATGTCACTTCCTCTTCTTCCACATCGACAGTTCCTACATGTGCTCCATGGCTGAGGTGATTATTGCCATC